TCCCTGCAGAAGAAGACAGTGATCTGTGATCCTGTGATCTGTCCTGCGCTCTCATGTCCTCACACCATCCAGCCTGAAGACCATTGCTGTCCCATCTGTGACGGTGAGTGATGAGTCAAATTAATATCATTTGTTAATATTTTTGATGTTCATTTAAAAGTAGCACATTTATGTGTTTAAATATTCAGGTTTTAGACATTAAAATATATATTTGTCTTGTTTTTCAGTATATGTAAGCACCCTTAAAATAAAATCAATTTAATAAGATTTTATATTATGAAAAATGGCTAATTGAAAAAAAATAATGGGGTAAGAAATACATATAAAAAATGCATATTCTTGCAATATCTTATGCAATTTAGCTTCTCAAGTAAACTTATCTTGTTTTAAGGATGTTTTACTGGAAAACATCACAGACAAAAATGCTGATCAAGATTTGATTTGCAGTGTAAAGATTGTTAGCATGGACTATAATTAAAATGCAGTAGCATAAAAAAATATATTTTATATTTACTGCGTCCTATAAAATTTGAGGGAGATTTAACATTGTGTTCGAATTTCTTTAAACAGAAAAGAAAGAAACCAAACAGATGACTGCGGTAGAAAAAGTTGAGGAAGATCCAGAAGGTGAGTTTATATTAAATGATAAGAATTTACATAGAATTAAACATCACAGCTATTATTTTAAATGTGCAGCTGTATATTAAGATGTTTATTTGTTGTTTCAGGCTGTTATTTCGAAGGTGATCAGAAAATGCACGCACCTGGCACAACATGGCATCCATTTGTCCCGCCATTCGGCTACATCAAGTGTGCCGTGTGTACCTGCAAGGTAAATTAACAAACATTACAATACACAACATTATGTTTTTGCTATAAAAAATACCAAATTTGTACACAGATATGAATATTAATAGTTAACCTTGTTGTTTTGTCCATCTCAGGGCTCCACAGGAGAAGTGCACTGCGAGAAAGTGACGTGCCCGCCTCTCACCTGCAGCCGGCCAATCAGACGCAACCCTTCAGACTGCTGTAAGGAGTGTCCTGCGGAAGACACGCCCCCTCTGGAGGACGATGAAATGATGCAGGCAGACGGAGCGCGACACTGCAAGTTCGGCAATAACTACTACCAGAATAGCGAACACTGGCACCCTCGTGTCCCGCTGGTGGGAGAAATGAAGTGCATTACCTGCTGGTGTGATGTGAGTTTATCTTTGCTTAAAAGTGAAAAAGCATAATAGGACCCCTTTAAGAACATTTTGAGATTTTAAAACACGATACCACAGATAAGTAGGGTAACATATTTTTACCATACTTCCCCAGTTTGATTACATTAAGAAGCGCAAAGATTTTCTGAAATGTATGCAAATAAGGCATTATCTAATTAAATATGCACGAATTTGCATACATTTCCAAAATATAAATCTGAACACTGGATAAAGTCAGGTTCAACATTTTTGTTTGATTTTGTTGACATTAAAGGTTTTTACTGTGGGGATTTTGGATTTCTCCTTTTATCCTAAATCAGAAAACACTGGCAATAGCCAGCAAAACACACATTTTTGCAATGTTTTTAGGAACAAAATGTTATATAAATCAGTGTGAATGATATATGAACAAACCCTTCAGTAAAAACCTTCAGAATGTAGATGGGAATAAAACTCTAAGTTCTGGTGTATGTAAGTGCTGCTGAAGTGGAGAAACAAACTTTTAAAGATATGTATTGGAATTGAAATCTATGACGCAAATAGATAAAGTGCAATAAAATAAAAACACTTAAAAGTGTATTTTGGATGTTTTCTTTCCACTAGTCTGAAACAACACTTTATGACCAGCGCATAAAAATACAATGTTTTTTCATGTAGTTTCTTGCCTCAAACTATTAGCATAATTAACTCAATTTCTCTTGTCATTACAGCATGGCGTCACAAAGTGCCAGAAAAAACAGTGTCCGTTCTTGAGTTGCAGTAACCCCATTCGCAGAGAAGGAAAATGCTGTCCTGAATGCATAGGTAAGTTCTGGTGCTAAACACAGTTTATTTAAGATATTAACTAAATCCTGCACAGTTTACTCAGTACATTTTACATCTTTGTTTTACAGAGGACTTTATGGAAAAAGAAGAAATGGCAAAAATGGTGGAGAAAAAGAAAAATTGGAGACACTGACACCTCCTTTCCTCAACGTTCATTTTCCCACATGTCTTAAGATCAGGCCATCTCAAATGCACAACGGGACGCCTGCGGATTGCAAAAAACAATCGCCGCACGAAACAGAGGAGAGGTCCAGAACACAAAGGGATCGAGAACAGTTTGGGAGAAAGTGGCTCTGAAGATGAAAGATATCAAGACCCAAACAGATAATGGATAAAAGGAGAACGAATTTCAGCTGATGTAGATGTTTGGATTTCCCATCGACTGGTTTTCTCACGTGAATGTTTGTTTTATTTTTGTTTGCATATTTGACTTGGTGCAAAATATCCAAGACTCGTACATCATCACAGCTGTAAATAAATGTGAATACAATCACATGTTTGTATCACAGTAAAAAACACACCACGCTTCACAACAAATTGCACATGCCGTCATTACAATCCTTCAAAATGACACTCAAATCCCAGCCAATCAGCAGGACTGTTGTGATGCATCTGATTGGAGATTTGCCCTGTGGGTGGGGCTTAGTTTGGGGAGGTGGAGTTTCGGATGCTCATCAACATAAACCCACCCATTTCTGTTGCACCTGATGGTGTCAGTCTGTTTGCTGGTATATCATATTTTATGGCTATTTTCTTTCAGTATTTTGATGGATATTATGAGTATTGTTTGTATTTGCATATTTATTAATTATGATGAATAAACAAAGTTTAAAAATGTATGTTGTCATAAAAGAAGTATGTTGTCTATCATTCTGGGACGTGGCAATGGGACGTCCACTAACACACACTTCTATTTTGACTTCACAGGGTTTCTGCAGGTTTGATGAAGATCAATTTAAGACTTTAAGAGCTTTTTAAGACCAAATAAAGAAAATGTAAGCAATAAATTGAATGGAACACGATATGTCAATATGGTCTCTAAATGTAAATGTATTGTATTAGCAAAACTTCAAAGTTTGAAAATACAACTTCCAACAGATTTCCATTACTTTTTCATTTATTTTACAAAAAAAATAAGCTTATGGCTTGAATATCTCTGCTCCTAATCACTAGAATATGGAAATAACTTTTATTGTCCCTTCTTATGCAAAAAAAAGTGTTTTTTGTCTTATCTAAAGATTCTTAAATCAAGATGCATTGACTGGCGATATAGATAATCAGTCTTGTCTTCTGAGAAATTGATCAAAATAAAGTGAGTTTATGATTAAAACAAGAACAAATATCTGCCAATGAGCTGAGAAAAATCAACTTAATTCAAAGAAAAAATAGGTTTCCTTTCAAGGGAACTTCGAATTGCGTCCTCTAGGGGTCGCTATGGGGAACGCCTCGTTGTGACCCGTGTCTGAAGCATACATTGAAAAAACACCAACAACACGTTGGCCGGCGACAGCCCATGACGTCACTACCGGTGCGACTATAGTATAAATAGGCGCCGGGAGAACATGTCATTCTCTTCTTCGTCTTCATTGACTGTTTTGTTTGAAGCGTGCATTTGAACGTGCAGCAGGTCAGGCTGTGGCTTCGTTGCACACTATGGCTGTGCTCCAGGCTTATCAGGCTGATCTGCTGAAAGACCTGGATAAAGGCGAGGGCCTTTCTCCTGATCAGTACGCAGTTCGAAGTTCCCTTGAAAGGGAACGTCTCAGGTCACTTATGTAACCACGGTTCCCTGAGTAGGGAACGAGACACTGCGTCCTCTAGGTTTCTTGCCATGCTGCGGACGCAAGCTTCAGACGAAGTGTCTCGTTCCCTACTCAGGGAACCATGGTTACATAAGTAACCTGAGACGTTTTCATTCCCCACTGACATGTTTGTTCTTGTTTTTTTTAAATAAACTCACTTGTTCTATTTTTCAGAAAACAAGACCTCAAAACAAAAATATTGAGGAAGATATTCATTTTTTGCAGTGCATGCATCATTTAATGCCATAAACTGTGATTAATTTAAGACTTTCTGCTCCGATTTAGGCCTTAATTTGTGGAAGAGTGAATTAAAGCATTTTAAATAATAAAATAAAAGCCATGCTCCTATGCATGTCTGAATGTAGGACATCTGTATGCCGCAAAACATGAAACGCAACTGTCGTTGAGCGATTTTCATCTTTTTATGTTGCTGACCCTGACTGGAGAAGATTTGTAGGTCGACCCGTACGTTAGGAGAGGATATTTCCAATGACTTTTGGATTATTGCAGAAAATAAGCCCTGTAACCAGCAAACGTTTATGATACTTACACATTTTGTTCATCATGATAATCTTCACAAATGAATACAACTTTATGCATTTTGAAGCCTAAATGCAATCACCAGAAGTATAAAGCTAAACGTAGACTATCAACGAACTACACTATCAGCGTCACCTCCAATGAGCTTCCCAAAACTCTTTCAGCCTTTATTAAAAACATTTTCCCTTAAAGTTTAACCCTCAGATTGTGTTCAAATCCCTTTAACACTTTGTGGTGTTCCCGGTCAAAAATGACTGGGGCACAAAAAACAGCTTATAAATCTCTTGTTATGCTATATTACCACCAAATATTGGTATCAATCTTTTTGTCAGCTTGTTTTCTTTCAATTAGGACTGGTTTTGTGTTTATTTTTGGAACTGATTCACCGTAGGCCTCATTAATCTGAGTTTACGTACATCAGTTTTTGAGGGAAAAAAGCATGATTTGTGGATAATTGTGTCAATATTAAATAAAATATGAAAAACACTTGCACTGTTTATCACACTAGCATGCTCTAATGTTTAACCAAGAAATTTGTTTTGAAAAGCTTTTATTTTGTGCAAAATGTTTAAAAAATTGCAAAAAAATCACACTTGTGGTGTTCCCGGTCTACAAAAAACAGCTTATAAATCTCTTGTTATGCAATATTACCACCAAATATTGGTATCAATCTTTTTGTCAGCTTGTTTTCTTTCAATTAGGACAACCCACCCCCGCCCCCCCAAAAAAAAACCTAGCTACGTGTACTGCATTAAGCTAACTGAGACTTGTTATAGCACTTGCATATCAATCTTTTGTTGATTTTTGTTTACTTCCATTGTTCTCATCATTGTAAGTCGCTGAATGCTAAATGACTAAATGTAACATTTTCGGGAGAAAGAAAATTCTCTCCGGGTCAAAATGACCCGAACACAACCTGAGGCTTAAATAAAGTCAAAAGAGTTTGCAAAAATGTGATTATAAATGCAATGAGGCTATGAAAGCGACCGCTGTAGTCCCATTTTACCATATTTCAAGACAAGAAAAAAGGGCGTTACTGATGTATTTTACATCGTAGAATAAAACATGAAAATATCTTGAGCTTGTGTTCAGGCATTTAACCAAAAACCCATTCTAAACACCCATTGACTTCAATGCGATGGAAGCGGGAGTGCTAAAATGCTCATTTCTGGGGTTTGGCCTACAAAAATAGCAGCAAACCCTACAAAGCAGTCCCAAAAGCACTTTTGGGAGGCGATGAACCAAATAATTACGTCATTGGTCAATCAACTGCAATTTTTCTAAATTTCAATCTGGCCAGACCGCGGTTCGGACCTGGTTTTAACTCATCTTCCTTCTGTTCCCACTTTGGTTTCACAACTTTCCCCTCTGATTAACCGCAGCGGGTTAATACGCCGGTCACTGGCATTAAATAAAATATGAAAAACACTTGCACTGTTTATCACACTAGCATGCTCTAATGTTTAACCAAGAAATTTGTTTTGAAAAGCTTTTATTTTGTGCAAAATGTTTAAAAAATTGCAAAAAAATCACACTTGTGGTGTTCCCGGTCTACAAAAAACAGCTTATAAATCTCTTGTTATGCAATATTACCACCAAATATTGGTATCAATCTTTTTGTCAGCTTGTTTTCTTTCAATTAGGACAACCCACCCCCGCCCCCCCAAAAAAAAACCTAGCTACGTGTACTGCATTAAGCTAACTGAGACTTGTTATAGCACTTGCATATCAATCTTTTGTTGATTTTTGTTTACTTCCATTGTTCTCATCATTGTAAGTCGCTGAATGCTAAATGACTAAATGTAACATTTTCGGGAGAAAGAAAATTCTCTCCGGGTCAAAATGACCCGAACACAACCTGAGGCTTAAATAAAGTCAAAAGAGTTTGCAAAAATGTGATTATAAATGCAATGAGGCTATGAAAGCGACCGCTGTAGTCCCATTTTACCATATTTCAAGACAAGAAAAAAGGGCGTTACTGATGTATTTTACATCGTAGAATAAAACATGAAAATATCTTGAGCTTGTGTTCAGGCATTTAACCAAAAACCCATTCTAAACACCCATTGACTTCAATGCGATGGAAGCGGGAGTGCTAAAATGCTCATTTCTGGGGTTTGGCCTACAAAAATAGCAGCAAACCCTACAAAGCAGTCCCAAAAGCACTTTTGGGAGGCGATGAACCAAATAATTACGTCATTGGTCAATCAACTGCAATTTTTCTAAATTTCAATCTGGCCAGACCGCGGTTCGGACCTGGTTTTAACTCATCTTCCTTCTGTTCCCACTTTGGTTTCACAACTTTCCCCTCTGATTAACCGCAGCGGGTTAATACGCCGGTCACTGGCCCATCTTTCCACGGCAAACGAATGTTTCTCATCGAGGAACCAGATTGGATCAGTTTTCTCAGACTCGCTCGGACTCATTCCAGTTGTCTGACTTCATTTCTGCGTCTTCTGTGTCAAACGGAGAAAACTCGAGGGAACACGAAAGAAGCTCGACGCTTATTTTCCACCAGTCTCTGAATAAAAGCAGCTAATCAATTTTTACAGAATACTTTTAAACCTTCCCTCAGTATTTTTCCATTCGCTGTTCCCGTCTGTTGTTCATCGACCAAATAACACTAAAGCCATTGGATTATTTGGTAGATGAACAACAGGCCAACAGACTTCAAATCAGTTACTAGTTCTGTTCACTCATATGTCAGTATTTATAAAGCATGCATTTGATCTTATTGAGCTACTCTAACATTTTGCCTGCTTTAGCTTGTTGTCCATTATGTCCTGATGTATTTTTAATAGTTTCGGACAGTTGTTAGAGATTCGAGGATGACTAGTTGCACTATTACAGTGCTGGCTCAAACATTGGATTTTTTTATGAATCATTTGTTTGAACCAATACTTTTAAACATCTTTGTATCAAACAAGAATATCTATAATTAACTGAGGAATACAATCCTGTTCATTTCAATACCAGCTGCTTAAAATCACTGGAAACATACCCCTAAAACAGCTGTGATTGTTTTGTTCTTTTCTGTCTTTTTCACTTCTTGTGAGTTTGCATCCCTGGAAAACTGGGGATGTGTGTTTTTATGATAACAACATGAGCTAAATGTATTCCCAAAGTAATAACAGTGATAATGCAGCATTCTTCCAAGATTACTGTAGAAGAAACCTGGAAATGTTTCTGTTTTTACAAAGAAACCACACAAGCAATCCAGTCTTTGAAATAATACATCAATAAATAAGTCATCACAAGCAGCTTTATATAATCACTATGACTCAT